AGGAATGGAGAAAGAATAAGAACCAAGATGCATTATGTAAAGGTACAATTCCCAATGAGAAATGTAATTGTGTCGTATACCTACAATGTACCAATAAAAGAATTTAATACAAAAAAAAAAAAAGCAACACAATTTGGTAAAGAATGGAGTAGATGTTTAAAGTTATCTATTGCACAAAGTTGAGGCAATAATATGTTAAAGAACACCTATGTACTATATAATCCTCAGGCAACTCAGTAATACTTTAGTAAACCAAAGTACATGGCTAGCTAAAGAAAATACCTGTCATGTCTTAAAAATATCTTTCAATACACAGTAAGTTACATAATAATACAATACCACTTTGAGATATTTATAGCATAATTTAAAAATAAACATAAAATGGAAAGAAATGAATAACTTGTGTCAGGGAGAAAAGTAAAATATGTAAAAAAATTTTTAATGGTCGCATTAATTTCATTTTTATAACTGCTCCAAATTTAAGGGTTAATGTTTAAAGTAGCTATACATAATTCATATTCATGTTAAAAATTAAGTACAGTCTTAAAGATAACAGGATAAATGTAAAGATAATACAAGCATTACCTCACAATTCTCTAATACAATTGTCAATGCAGATGAAAATATCACTTCCCTTTTTCATATTAAAATTAAAATTTAATATGTCATTATAGACAGAAGGAGCACATAAAATTGGCTTGAGAGTATTTCATATTAATTTTCTGCCTTCAACTTCTTAGTTATGGCAATTCATGCTAAAAGTGAAATGAGAGTCAGATTTCTGAATTCTTTCTCTTTTATGTACTTATATTGTGTCATTTTATAAACACTCTAGATTTTTAATTTATGAAGTACAAAAAGATTCACATAGCATTCGGTGACTATAGCTTGAGAGCTAAATAGACAAGGAGAGTTGCAATGAAATATGAATTACTCTAAAGACAATTTTCTAATGAATATAATGTTTCCAAGTTTAAAAAGCAAAACAATGGTTTCCCAGTGAGATCCCAGCCTGAGCACTGTTATCAGTCACCAAAAACCAAACCAACCAACCAAATAAAAAACTACCCAACTTTCATCTCTTCTATAATAACTTCAGTATGCAACTGTTATATTTCAGTAAGTATTCAATTATTTTGAGTTAACCATAATTACATTAATAATTATAAAATTATATACATTTTATGATTTAACAGCTACTTTTCTTATTCCAATATCCTTAACAGACTCTTCAGTTTACTGTGCTCCTTTTTTGCCAACTCTATACATCTAAAAAAGAAAAGGTCACAGGCATCTTACAAGAGTTATCAGTTGACATACACAAATGACAATGTTGTCTACATCACTGCTGTGCATTTCTCAGTATTATATTCTCTTGAATTCTTGACTTCAGCTTTCTTTTCAGAGGCCTGGTGACACTTACCAGAATGGGTCCTGAGGTGTCCTGTGAGGGCGTCCCTTCGTCTACAAGCGTAGCTACAGAAAGGACATTTGAAGGGCTTCTCACCAGAGTGTAACTTTATGTGTCTCAGAAGGTTACCCTTTTGAGTAAAAGAAGCTCCACACTGGTTACAGTGGAAGGGGCGTTCCCCTGTAGGAAGAAGTGGAAAGACCAAGTAGGTTAAGTGCAAGGGACTGACCTATAATTCATTCTTAACCAGAACCAATTCTGTTTTAATGTTCATCTCCTCATAAGTCTTCTAAATACCTCTCCATGAATTGGTTTTGCTAATAAACAAGTCTCAAGTTTTGATCAAACAGTCATTTCCTCTCTTCATATAAATCTGACAAGATTCCTGTTATTGGCTCACAACAGTACCAGTAATAGTATTTACAAGTGGTTGGCAACTAGATGCCATTACTTTACTGCCTTATTAATTTCTTTATAATGTTTCAATCCTCACAATCACATTAATTATTATTAATTTCAATTTACAAATAAAATTAAAGTTCACATTCAAAGTCACTGATTGCAATCACAGAGCTAGAAGTTGAGAACTGAACCTGGTCAGTTTGAATACAAAATCTTTTTCCATATATTTTACCATGCTTTCTCTTTTAAACTCAGAAAGTTTGAATTGGAAGAGACTGGTGGTCTAACTTCCTCATTTAGCTGTAAAGGCGCCAAAGAAAGGCATAATGAATGAGCCAGATTACAAAAGCTCATTACCAGGAGATCTCCACCAGAGCCCAAGCCTCTTGATTATCCTGGTCACTAACAGTGAAACCTTTGGCAAAATTTCCCAATATAACTAGAGAAAAATCCAAAGAAAATTATTCATCCAGACATTTCTCATATATTCTCATTATTTTATGAAAATCATGTTTGACAAGAATCTTTTCTCAATTTTCTATTACTGATATTGCTATAAAATTGTTATAAAACAATAAAACTGTTTAAAGCTGAATTATCAGTTTAGTCTATTGCCACAAGCTGGCTGTCACTAATGTCATCAAACATAAAAACATGTAGGTAATGAAGCAGAAAAATGGGCAAATGGGATCAAATTGATAACAGTATCAAACCATGAAAATCACGTGTTGCCTATCTCTAAAGACAAATGAAGTAAATGATAAAATATCAATAAATAGTAAAAGTACTAACATTCAGTGTTTAGAATAAAAAGAAATTTAAAAAGTTCAAGTGGAACTAAACTATTTCTTTACTTAAAGTAGATGAAGATTATAAATTCAGTTTTTCAAAAAATTCATATTGAATTCTCATGTTTCATATATTTTAATTGAAATGTTCATCATAATAGTGAATCTCTCTCTCTCTCTCTCTCTATATATAGATATATATATATATTTGATCTTTGACATATGCAAACCAGTGATTCTTTTATGAAAGAAAACTAGGAGGCATAAGGAAGATAAACTGCAGTCACTGTCTGCCAGTAGCCACTACAAATTCCATCAAACAGCTTTATTACAGTGCCTAAAGAAATTGACAGATCAGATACATCTTGAACTCTGTTCTATTTGCTCTTTTGGGAAGTTAAAGTTAATATATCAAAAAGCATAATCTGTGTGTGTGGTGGGGGATAAGGTTTTTTCCTTAAGAAATCTAGCTCTTAGAACTAAGTTTACCACAAGCCCATCCTGTAATGATGTGTTGAAAAAAAAATACTTAGGTTAAAGCTACCTTAAATTGTATCTTATTTAACTAGTTTGATTCATTTGGTAAAAATCTAAAACTTGTCATATGAAGTCATAAAAACTAATTTTTAAATCTAATTTCTGAAGATTTGTCTCTTTAAAAACACACATATGCAAGTGAACTTGAATGTTTGATTTTAATTTCCTCCAATGAGACAGAAGGACACAACTTTTAAAAGTCATACTTACATACTTTCCACCTCTGCCATGGAAATATAAATGACAGAGGAACTTTTTTCACAAATTAACTTTTTTTAAAAAGGAGAAAATAGCAAATACAAGTTATATCTTCCATTTCAAATATTTGACTTTACTTTTAGAATCCCTCTATATAAGGTTTCCCAGGCAAATAATAAGTTGCTATGCAGTAAATTTTAAAAATATTTATTAATACATGTTTGCAGTACATAATGACTACAATACTTGTGGGGAATTGGTACATGCAAAAACTTTTAAAAAGAATTATATTAATAAAGGTATTGAACAAAAAAATATATTTTCCTTTGGAAAATACTGTAGTAGCACAATGACTTAGATTTTCATCTATAACATTTGAATTGATTTAAAAATCTCTAATATAGAAGTTAATTCATTATATAAAATAATAAGCTAAAAAAGAAATACTAAGAGCAAACACTTTTAAAAAAGAATTTTAAATTTCAACTAGTTGAATTTAATGAGACTAATGACGGTAATTTAGCTTTCCCATTTAAAAAATACTCCAGATAGCTTTAAATTTTTTTTATTAAGAAACTACTTCATATTTATATAATCATCTTCAAAAAGGATAGGAAAAATGGAAGGGAATCTTGGTACATCTGGAAATACTGCAGTGTTACTGAGCATGGAAGTCCTAGTATGGAGGCCTTTGGTAAATTCCCAGTGCCATGAAATGTAAAAGATAAGGCATGACGATGACAACTTTTTTTTTTTTGGTAGTATTGGAGATTGAACCCAGGGCCTTCACACTGAATTATATCCCCAACCCTTTTAAAAATGTTTTATTTTGAGACAGTCTCTCACAGAGCTGCTCAGGCTGGGCTTGAACCTGCAGTTCTCTTGCCTCAGCCTCCCAGAGTGCTTGAATTATAGGTGTGTGCCATCATCCCCAGCTGAAAGTAACTTTTTTTGATTAAAAAAAAAGAAAAGGTATTGACAAAAACACACTTTGATTTCAACCAAATGGGCTTTGAGAAATGCTGATTTGAACTACGAGGAAGTCTTGTTGACGCGTTTTACTTTGGAATATCAATTTTATGGGTTTCTTCATTTTAGGTTGAAATCTGCTTAACTAGTCTTAATATCTTGATTATATGAAATGATATTTCAATAATACAGTTTCATTGTATTTACCACTGAAGTTAATTGAAATTATGGTGAAACCTTCACTAACACTACTTCAGGAAGTAAGAATGAAAGTAGACGATAAATGAGTTTTTAAGTATATTTAGTCATATTTCAGGAGTACCCCAAACACAGACATATATACTCTGTTTAATAATAGTAACTGCATTAAATCACTTTCTGGAAAAACCATCTGTAAAACATTTGGAATCCCTTTATTAAATGTTGTGGGATGTTTCCTGGCCGAGGCATTAAAAAGATATAAGTAAATTTATCTGATAATGAAGTAAAAAGTTTAACCTCCTTTTGTCTATGCAAAAGTATACATATAAAAATATTATCTATAGAAATTCAAATAACACATCTCACTTATTTTTTCTCAGAATTTGTTTCTTAAATGAATCAGTCGGCCTTTTTAGAGTCACTTTAGACTTTGAAAAAATGAATCATTTTCTTCATATGTAAATCAAAGAAAGTTTTAAGAAAACTCTACCAATTCAATATCCACATTAAAGATATTAGAGAGTACTCCAATTCAAAAATTTAAGTCATTTCTTTGATGTCTGATAGCTTTTCTTCCCAACTGTGGATCCAAGAAACAATCAAGATGTGGTCATGGTATCCTTCATATCCATCTTTAATTCGTTTTGTTTGTAATCTACTTGTCCATTTTTAGTTATTCACAAGATGAATTTACAGATGATTTTATTATGCAATAATTACATTTTAATAGTTCATGTATGTCCATAGCTACATTTTAAAAATCTGAATTTAAATACTCAACTGAAATACAAATACATATGCATCAATTTGCTCTGGTAAATGAAAGAGAGGGTATTCCTGTGTTACCTACAAGAACACAATCATAAGCACCTGACAAGAGGGTCTTGGAACAAGAAAATGGCTCTCTTAACACTGCAATGCACAAAAATGGGAGTAATCTACTCCAAGAGGGGCACAGTTGAGGACGCTCCTATAGATTCGTGTTCATGCATGAATTAATACCCCTACTTATTTCTCCCTATATTCCCAATGAAGAGTGCCTGGAGTATCGGATGACAATATTACCTGATTACTTACTAAAGTAGCATTGCCAAAGAAGTAACACCAAGCCATTAATAAGATACTGAAATTGGCACTTTAGTAGAGTGTGAAAGAGAAAGAAGCAGCAGCGAACTAGATCTGATACTCCATGTCACTGTAATAATTGGATAGTTGTGCACCTTAGTTAAGACATTCAAACATATATTTCTCAAAGGCTATGTAAAGATTGAAGATAGTTCCTTTTGTAATAGCTACACATAAGAGTGGAAACTTGTAAAATGAAAACTAGTTAATATTATGGACAAAATATGTGGTTAATGACTAGATTCTGACTATATCTTTCTCAATCTAGTTTAAACACAAATAGATATTCTATTCTCAAATAGCAATAAAAAGGAGTTGAAATGTCAGCACCCACTCCAATATATAAACTGACTCATCAGAAACACATATTAAAAGAGTTTAAGATAGCATATCTAAAATTTCGAAGTCAACAAAACATGATGGCTATCCCAAGGTCCTTCATGAATGGCTATTAACTTTGACAAAAATCTCCCAGATCATAAAGTATAAGAATTTTCCCAGTGCTCCAATAAACCTTTATTTAGTCCATTATCCTTGCCTTTACCACTTGTGTTCATATTCCTAGGACTCACTTATGGAAATCTGTGCAACTATATATAAGCATTTTTCATGCCAGTTATGTAATTTTCAGTTTTAAAATAAGCTGACTCTACTACAGCAGCAAATATCAATTGGACAGTAGAGCAGGTGTGTAATTATGTAATTTATAAACGATCCTAATGAATATTACTACAGATACAGTCAAATACTGAATAATCTAAATTTTCAAGAAAGTTCTTCAAATTTTCTTAACTAAGAACTTAAAACATTTACTAAAACATCTTCCAAAAATAGTTTTTAGTATAAACTTCAGCCTTAAAACTAACACTATATGTAATTCAATTGCAAAGTCCTTAGACTGTTTTAGTTTGTCTTTTATTGAATTATCTTCCTCAATATTCTCACTCTGACATAATGAACACATTGTGACTTTGTGGAACTTATTTTATGACTCACAAAATTGTTTCAAGAGCTCAGATAAAAAATACATTGGTTATTTTAGAATCTTTACCCCTTTTTCTTATCAAATAGATATCAGGCTTGATCTTTCAACTTTTAGAAAACTAAGAAAAACTTTGTATTAGTAAAACAAACATTCTAAAAGCATGAGAATGTTTAAAAAAGAAATTCCAAATAAAGCAGAAGCAAAAACGGAACGGGCTGTAGGCTGGAAAAACGTATATAACTAAAGCTAATGCGTACGATAACAATGATTTTAATGTATAATTTCTCATGATAATTTTTTTCTTTGGTACCAGGGATCGAACTTGGGACCTTACGCTTGTGAGGCAGGCAGCAGAACCACTGAACTAAATCCCCAGCCCTCTCATGATAATTTAAAAGCATCAATTTTAGTTTATAGTCATACTTCATAATAAACTGTGGGTATAGTAATATATCCTGCATGGTATGTTCAAACAAAACCACGATGAAATCAGGATATCTTGATTCTAGCCTTAGCAATGTCCCTACCTACAAATCATTTGACTGTTTCTTCATGTGTGATTTGAGAAGTTTGAACTAAAAACATTTCGATGTAACTTATACATCTCGTTTTTTTTCTTTTGGCAACAGGGTCTCATTATGTACTTCATGCTGGCCTTGAACTCTGTGCAGCCCTGGCAGGCCTTGAACTCAATGGTGATCTCCTTGCCTCATCCTCTCAAGTTCTGAGATTACAGGCATGCACCACCATGCCCGACTTGCATCTCAGGTTTTAGAGTCTCAATTATTAAATTATTTAGATTTAAAACTGTAAATAAATTTCTTCACTGTGATTTATCACTCTTCCAAAGAGTATCACATACTAAAATTCAAGACTATTAGTTACTAATATTTTGCTGTGGAATACTGCTATGCATTATAGTAAAAGCTACATTACCTTCAAACCAAGCTTTATATATATCATGAAAGTTTTAAAAGTTGACTAACTACCTTCCTTTCTTACCACAATCTTATTTCAGTTGCTTTTTATTTTTAAATTTTGGCAAAAGATTTGAAAAGATTTAATAAGACCTCATTTGGTATGAACAATTCTATGATTACACATTTTTACCTGCATATCTACCACCCTTTGTCAGATTTGACCCTGCATACATCCTTGAGGAGTTATAAACAAAAATCACAGGAAGATGATAATATTCTTGAACTAGGAAAAGTACCTGTCTATTGCCGAGGCCTGTGGTAGGCAAAGAGTGACTGTAAATCAAATTTTAAGAAGTTAACTAGATAAAGGGAAAGTGATTCACCCCAATATAAATGTGTGAGTGCCATTTTATAGTATAAAATCTTAGCTAGCAAACTCTATTACCTGCCCATGGGTACGGTAAAATATGTATAGAAATACAAAAAGATTAAGTTACCCAATGAAATTCTCCTATACCTTTTGAACCCTTATCATATTATTGCTATATTAAGAACTGTGGAAACTGAATCCCAAACTTCTTTTCTGATATGCTATTCAGATCTGAAGGCTGGAAGTCAAGACCCAGGCTACTCTCTGCTTTCCAGCAATCCAATACTAGCAGAATTCTGAAAAGGTAGTTTCACCATTGTCACCCCTGAATAAAAAGGAAAGAGAATAGATGTCAGGTAATATCAACATCAGATGTCACAGGCAGTCATCAGTTATGCTTGCAGCTGCTTACCAGTGTGACTCCTTTTATGTACCATAAGCACATTGGGCCCAATGCAAACCATGCCACAGACGTCACATTTCAGTTTACCATTCGGAAGCCGGATTCCTCCCTCGCCTTGAAGCTCCTGGACTTTCCTGTTGTCAGCCACCTCGCTGCTCTCAATTAGGGGTTCTTCGAGGCTGCTACCCTCATCATGTCCCCTGATCTCATCTTCACGGCTCAGGGGTTTCCTGTCACATTCTTCATCACTCTGCATTTCTAGTTTTACTGAATTTGCTGTAATTTAAAAGGAAGAAATTTTAAATTTTAAATTACATGATATGTGATCTCACCTACCTCTTGTCTACCCAGTGTCCTTCTATTAAAGGATACAAATGACATTCAGTAGAAAACTGTCCATTGCCAAAGACTGTGGATACCTACTGTCCTCTAGGATATTTTAGTGATGCTTTGGGCTGAAAATAAAGATGGCTCAGGAATGTGCTTCAGCAACAGACTAACCCTTTATTTCTGCCTCATTTCTTTAACTCACTTGTTTACTTCTTAAGCAAGTCATTAAATAATTCTAATATTCACTTGAGTTTGTCATTAAGGCTACTAAGAGTAAGATCTATTTATGAAGACACAAGATTAAATATTACTTAACCTACTGAGCCATGTCTCCTCTCAAGATCATTATATTTACTTCATATTCCCTGCTTCGCATCAGAGTACTTGTGTAAACCTGCTTCTGAACAGAGCAAGAGAAACAACTTAAGATCTTAATCCAGCAAATGTCTTTCACATATGAAAGCATAATGTTAAAATAAATGTCCTAAAATCAGACTAAATATAAATAGTTAAGAGCTGTACAAATACAAGATAAAGTACAAAGGCCTTACATGCTCTTAAATTACTCAGCCTTTTTTTTCCTGTATGAAAAAAATTCTCCATTGACTACATTAGCCTGAAAATCACAGTATTCTGACTCTAATCTATGCACAGCGAAAGGTAGCTAATGACAGGAATGGCATAGCATGCATGTACACACTTGTGAATGTGAAGAAATTTAATGCCTTTGCTTTGCTGTTTTTGGATTATCCCACAGAAAAGCTGGAATTCTGTTAGCACAGCCCTCATTCTGGATTGCTGACAAAGTCTTTTCATGAAGAAGCAAGTTTTAAATTAATATCAGTTTTTATCTAGTGATCTTGAAAATTTCTTGTCATATCAGAGTCAATGAGCAAAATATTTGGTTCTACTTGAATAAAGAAATGTTTTAAATGTTTTAAAAAGGAAGGAAGCTCTTTTTACTGTAATTGTTTTCTTGGAGAAACTACACATTTTGTGACTTGTAGTTGGTTCTTATCAGGATAGGGAGTACTAGCAAAATTGCTCTTTCTCGTTCTTCTCCTTAGAGGGCCTCTACTGAGGAAACGTGGTACAAGAGTACCAGCAGTACAATGTTGCAGTAATTATTTAACTTCTGAATCTTAGGTCTTTCATTTGCAAAATACAGATGAATACGTATTACTGAATAGCCTACTCTGAACTATATCTAGTAAGTAAATCCTTAAGCATCCTAAGGAACTTACATTGTCCATGTCCTCTGTAAAATGGGGATCACAAAAGCATCCACTTCCTAGTGTTGATGTGAGAGATAAATGAATACATAGAGTAAACATGCTATTTTTCTTTGTACTCAGGGTGATATATTTATTTCATAAGATTTTTTTGTAGTTTACTACAATTCATCTTCACAATCTATAAAGGGATGCAAATCCTTGCTAGACCTACCTCTAATAGAATATTTACTATGTGGAGTTTATTTAGAAATCATTACAACAACTGGTTTTGAGACAAGCAGGGACAGAATTTCATCCAACTTTATTATATGCCCAACATACTCAAGAACTTGGTGATATATGGGAAATGTTCATGCACTATTAATTGACTTGTTTTACTTAACGTATTATGAACTGTACTTTTAAAAACTTGTCTATGTTTAAAGAAAAACAAATTAAAATTAAGATCTTTTCTACTGAGAGCTCAAAATCCCTCAACCCTGGTCTCAAAGAAAATATCATAATTTTCACCCTCAGAAGTTTGTCTGAATCTGTTTTAAATATAATTTATTCATCTAATCTGTCACCAAATATTCTATTTCTTGTTTATTATAGACATTATTAAATAATACCATATAGAACTATCAGTGTGAAAAATGGTGTTTTACTATACTTTTTAATATAGACTTAAAAGATTGAACTTGGCCAACTTTTACACGTTTGAATGTATTTTTTATGAAACTGTTTATCAATATTGTCTATCTTTCTATTAGGTTCTCAATCTTTATTCAATGAATTTAAAGAAGCTTTATGTACAGCTCAGGATCTATCCCTTAAACTGAAAATCCAAAATCTGAAATACTACAAAATCCAAAATCTTTTGTGCACTGACTTGATGCCCCAAACAGAAAATTCCACAACTGACATCACCTAAGAGGATTATGTCATCAAGTCATTAAAATGTATATAAACTAAAAACATTATATATAAAGTTAATTTCTGGATATGTATAAAAGTTGTATATGAAATAAAAATGGATTTCATGTTTAGACTTGAGTTCCAGCCCCAAAATATGTTCTGATGTATGTGCAAGTATGCCCAAGTCTGAAAGGACTTAAAAAAATCAAGAAAACAATTGGTTCGAAGTATTTCAGATAAGGGACACTCAACCTGTCCTAAGAAACTTGCCAAGTGTTCATGATGTTTCATATATAATTTGGTTTATCTTTTTATTCAAGGATATTTTACGGCATATTTGGTACTTCCATATGTTGAATTATGGCTTGCTTCAGTATGTTTTTCTCAACTCCTAGAATTTTTTTTTTCATATTTTTTCTGGTAAGGAAAACTTTTCCAAACAATGCAAAATGCAACAGGTCACTCTATGCAGTCCCATACTTCCTTCATAATTGTTATTTAAGAGAAAAATTCAGAAGAAATGTTGAAAACATTACTTCATACAGCATGACTTTATCCCAAACTACAAACTATCTCACACATTTATGTCAAGTGAAATACTAAAGATTAGATGGCAATGCCATAATTCTTGTTATGAACTAGCCAATGTCTGATAAGCTACATTTAAATAAATACAGCTTAAAATTACTTAAAATTTTTTTTTGTTTTTTTTTGGAACAGAGTCTTGTTATGTTGTGCAGGCTGGCCTCAAACTCACGGTGACCATCTTGCCTCAGCCTCCTGCATACTAAAATTACAGGCATGCATCACTATGCTTTGCTAAGGAGTACATATTTAAAAGTATAGTTTTAAAGTCTAAAACTATAGGCCTTTCAACTGTCAAAATAGTACAGAATTATGAAAAATATCATTTGAAATTAGAACAATAAACTATCTTTTTCCCTAGTGAGAATGCTATAATAGAGGCATCTAACACATGCATCAGAAATAAATAAAACTGTCATTTAAAAAATTATAGCATTTACAAATATAGTTAGGATCTTTTATCCCCAGAGGAATATGCTGGATGCAAAGAGAAAAAAAAAGGACACTTGCTAGAACTAAAGCACAAAAGAAATAACAGGGCTATCACAAAATTCTCTAGCAATACAACAAGGAATGTTGATCATGTATGAGTATATCCTATTGTTTTCCTGATAAATCAATAAAGTACAACACATTTTAGGATACACATCATCTATTAAATTTAGCAAAATGTGATAGCGCATGTACAAACAAAATTCCATAGCAATTAATTTCTAACACATCTCACTAAAATTGTGTTGAAATTCTAGGATGAAAAGCAATACATAAATTAATTGAATAAATGTCTTTGAATGTTAATGATTAAATAGGAAAGCTTTTTCTACTCAAATGAGCCTCTACAATTTAGCTTCACTATGTAAGAAGATTTTAATGCAGACCACTCAATATTTTAACTCTTTAAAGATTAAATTTGTGTTTTGTATATATTAAGTATACCCTAAATCATAACATATATTAATTAAAGAGTTATATTATGAATATTTGTAGCTATAATATATGAAGCTGTTATAATTATTAAACAATAGATACTACTATAGTTTTCAAATCTTTAAAATTAGATTTTTAATCTCATAGGAATATTTTTACAATTTGTTACAGGAGGACATTCTTTTAAGTGGGATAATGTCCTTCACCAGTTTGAAGTGAAATCTTGTGACAAATCTCAATATCAAGAATAAATTTTCAAGATTGTTTCTCTACTAGAAACTAAAAGATGTAAAAAAACTCAAGTTTATTTGTGGGATTTGTACATATAAATATATATTGACAAGCAATAATGACTTAATCAAAATAGTATTTTGTTAGAACAAATCATTAATAAGGAAAAAGGGGTATAAACTAAGATTTTAGTCAATTTGTTCTTTATCTACCAGTAGTTATATGTGAATATTTTTGGTGAATAAAATAGAAGCCTTTAACATAGCTATTTTTTTTGATGTAAAGGAAATGACATGCATATTTTCATACGAAGAAGTCAAAGTTTAGAGCATTTAGAAAATGTTTTTTCATTGCAATGGCATAATTCCTTATAGCCAATATTTAGTAGATTATGAGGTTTGTGAACACATAGAAAGGAAAACAGTTAACAATCAAGTTAATATAGAAAGAACTTTGAATATATTTCAGGACAAAAAGTTCCACATGTATTTTGGCAAAAAATAGCATCATGAAGCAAACATGCTTATGAATGCAAGATTCCCTCCCCTATTCCTTATGCTTTCAAAATGCTATTCATGGACATTAGAATTTAAACTTCCAGATTCCATAAATATACATCTTTCATCTTCATTCACAAAAGATCACACCAATAAGAAGAGACATATATGAAAAATGTACAGTACTGTGACACAATCATTGTGTATGCATCTCATATTCATACAACTCATCCTCCTCAACCACAAAAAAAAAAAAAGGAATGCTCCTTGAAAACAATGTTACCAGGGCTTAGGATGTGGTATAGCTCAGTAGTGGAGTGCTTGCTTACCTAGCACACGGAAGGTTCTGGTTCCATCCCCAGAACAAAACAAACAAAAAAGTCATAGAACCAGGAAATGTTTGTTCAGTAGTTGCTGCTTGGCTAATGCTTTGCCTGAAAATTTTACTAAAGGTGTAAGACTAAAACCATATTATTAACTTTAAAAATAAGAAATCCTATTAACAGAATAGAATGCACACAGAAATAGGCCGTGAAAGTGTTCAAGTACCAATACAAAGAATTAGTTTGGTTAT